ACAAGCAGACTGCTAAGGGATGAAGAACAGGTTCAGAAAGATGCCCAAGTGCAGATGTCCAGTGTGAGGTTCAGGGGAAAGATGTGGCTGGGATCAGGTAGGAGTGCAGTGTTTAAAGCTGTGGCAAGGATCTCCTTTAATAGTGCTGCTTCATGGTGAATTGTCATCCACGACAGGCTGTGAGGTCTAGTTTGTGAGTTCTGGTCAGTATTTAAAAAGAGAGAAAGAAAAGCATGAAGAAGCAATCCAGATTTTAAAATATCAAATATATACCAATCAGTGGTATATTTTTCATGATTTTATTTCAGGTTCACTCATGATTATTGTCTTGCTTCATTAAATGTGTTTCCTGTGTGACGTGACACAAGTGTAAAAGCCATCAGTGAAGAGTGTAGACTGAGGAAAGGGTAAGCACCAACCACATGTCGCTGAGAGGTTGAGGGGGACTCAGTGAAAGAACCCGAGGAGGAACCGTAAAAAAATGTAATCCAGTGCTGAAAATTGTCAAATAACCGGCCCTTAGCACCAGGGTTTTTATCAAGAATTGCTGAGGCCAGCACAGTTGCTTAGAATAACATAATTCTGATGAGTTTCACTTTGGTGAAGTTGTTACTGCAAAAAAATTCAATATACTCCAATATATGAAATCTGAAGGTTATAAAATAGCTATTTGCTTTAGAAAAAAAATAGCTATTCCTGAATATTTTCAAATAAGATATTTTTATAGATTGGATTAATGTTTTTGGATTGCTATATATCCATGTGGTAGTAATAATATGTACTGTTATGCATTCTGTGGATTATATGTATAAAAATTGTATGTTTAGCACACATCTGGTGGACAATCAAATGTATGTAATATTTAAGATTTTAACTTTCTGTTCATTTAACATTAAGTTTTTGTGATTCTAGGCACAGTGTATACTTTTTTATTTGGTCTTTATTGTATAATATAAAACTATTTATCTGTATAGTATTTAGTTACCACACATCCATCTTAGAATTTTGGGTTTAGAAGTTTCTATTGTTTTCTAGCTTCTGCAGAAGTATAATTATTTTCATTATGTTTACATGTTTTTTCTTCTCCCACTCTTTATATGTAGATATAGAAATAGATATAAATATAGGCACATGAAATAGTAAAGTGGTTTTAGACAGCAAAAATCACCTTTAAAACACATTTCCCTTTTTATATGTGATATGTTTCAATTTATCAACACCCAGTTATATTAGTTAGACTGAGAATATAGAAAAGGGTATAAATGATTGAAATACTAAACCTGTGGCTTCAGCCATTTAAATGTGAAAATAACTTTGAATATTCCCAACTAATGAGAAAGGAGCTTGAATTTTATTTACTTGTTGATTCCCTCTGCTATGTTTTCAACCAAACTGATACATCTAAGAAAGTGCTGCTTTAATTATGGTCAGCTCTTGGAGTTTGTGGTCTGTCTTTAATTATGGTCAGCTCTTGGAGTTTGTGGTCTGTCTCCTTCTCGCACTGTCTCTGTGGAGTAGGTGCAGTGCGGCACCTGTCAAAGCTAAGAAAGAGCAAATGACACGGACTTCTGTGCTCAGAGGAATGAAATATGGAGTGACAAGAGCTTTGCCCTAGTAGCCATGGAGACCCAGAAAATGATTCTGCAGTACCTTCCTCTCTAAGGCTCATCACACAAAATCAATGAGCTAACGAATCCTCTAGATAGAAATAAGAAAAAAAGGGATTTCTCTTCCTCTGGCGTTTGCAAACTTTAAGCAAAAATTATGTCCTAATCTTGAAAAATTGAACACAGCTGAGATCCTATAAATGAGTATTATCATAATTTAAAAAATTATTAAATAAAAATAGAAGCTCAGTATAAAATACTCAATTTGTATAGATTTACTTATACTATTGATTTTAGAAATTACATTAGTAATTAATGGGGGGGGGGATTTGCCCAGTGAGGATTTTTTTAACTCCAAAATCATTAAGAAACATTTTTAATCTCCCAGGAAAAGCACCAACATGTATATTTCAAGAAAACATGTTAAAAATCAACAGTGTTTTGCATTTTCTCTGAGGCTTCTCATTAATTTTTAGATATCTTCATAGGCAGATTATTATTTTCTGTTTTGTTGGCATTTAGTATTTATTAAGTGCTCACAGGGAGAAGAGTTCACAGAATATGTAAAAACCTATACTCAAAATTGCTTCGAGAGTGGCAAATACACATGTATTCTAATTTTCATGTGTATTTCGTGTGTAATAATGTCATGTATACCATGACATTATTATTATTATTTTTTTAAGTGTTTGCAGAACTAGTGTCATTAATACTATCTCCCAACTGCTGGGCAAATGAGGAAATCAGCCATGCTTTTTTTTTTTTTTTTTTTCTTCCGAATCTACTTCTTGAAACATTTTAGGGGATCTTCGAGGGGATTGGTAAATTAATCAGCAGTAGGTTACAGGGGCAACTTCCTTGCATAGACTATCAATTTCTTAGAAAATGTGGTTGGTTCTTTTGCCTGTGAGTTTTAATAAATAGCCTTTATATTTTGTTTTAAAATCACCTCTGTGCCAAAAAAAAAAAAGCCAAAAAATAATTAAACAAAAGTGTTTAAGCTTATGTAGAAAACAAATTCCGTGCATAAAAATGTTCTTTTAAATGACATGAAAAGCTTTCCTTTAGGTAATCTTTTAAAGTAGTATAAAAAAAATGCTTAGATCTGTTACGTTTTGGTAAAAACTAACACTAATTATTTATATTAACAAATATTAGGTTTTCTAAGACATTATATTACTATTTTCATTTGTCATACTAGATGGTTAACCCTTTAACAAAAATGTCAAGAAGCTTAAAGATTAAAAAATAATAATAATACAACTAAGAAGGGTGAGCAGGGTTCGTATAAGGGAAAAGGACAGGAGAAAGGCTATTTTCCACCCCAGATTCTTCTGTGATACTTATTACCATCTACATGTTTTAATGGAAATCAAACTAAAATAAAACATCTGTTTCTAGCGCTACGAAATAAAGAAGGCATTGGGAAGTGGATCCTTAGGTTGAATAATTTTCTACTTCTAACAGGATCATTAATTGGAAGAACCAGGCTTGGACCCCAAATCTCAGAATTTTCCATGTAGTGCTGCATCTTGAAAAAACAGTTTCTTAAGAGAGTTACTTTAAAATTCAGCTATTACCTATTTCTTTCCAATTCATGTATCTTTATTGTTGGATATATATAATGGTTTTGCTTGAAGAAACCATAATGTGTTAAAGTCATTTGTGTAAATCAAAAATGTAAATTAAAAAAGAATAAGGAATATAGAACACTAAGACATTTAGTACTTGGAAGGTTTTTTAAATTCAGGGTACACTAATATTTCAGATATACTTAAAGAATTGCTTGTGTACTTTAAATTGCAAATGTACTCTGATAGCCTTTAAAAGACAAAATATTTTTTCAAATGAAACTCCATTTTCCTATTATGTTTCCATGGTGAATGCTTTTAAAGAGTGCCATCTAGTGACAATTGTGGAAATGTGATTTACAGATTAAACTAGGCAATTTCAGACGCAGGAAATGTATGAATCAAACCAAAACTCATGAGAATTGAAAAGTCTTAAGGACTATTACTCAAAAAACTCATCAATAGTTTGACCTTCAATTTATATACATATATTTGCATCTTTAAAATGACCAATGTGTATATTCATCTACACATTTACTCAAGGATGCTGGATCTGATTTAGGCTCAGCAATGAACAGAACATAATTTCTACTCATGGAACATTCTAGATGGGGAGACAAGACAACTGTGTAGTGTGTTACAGTAATGATTAGTGCTATTCATGAAAGGGTATGGAAAAGCTTTTTCCAGGTAGTGTGGGGTTAAGTTTGCAGTTGAAATACAAGAGACGTGGAAGGTTGATATTTGAGTAAATCCTTGAAGAAGGTGAAGGAGTGTTCCAGGCACTGGCAACAAAGTGCCAAGGCCTCAGAGTAGGAAGGTGCCTGGTGTTTTAGAAGAATAGCAAGATCTTTTGGCTGGAAGAGTGAGCCATGTCAGTTGATGAGATGGGCATAAAGAGAGGATAAGGTCAGTGTGGAGGCCCTGCCTTTTCTCTTAGTAGGGTAGGAAGACTGGCTGCTCTGCTAAGAACAAACTGACAGCGATGGCAGTGCACTTAGGAGGCGCCTGGCATACCTCAGCAGAGGGTGGTTCCTGGGATCGGTCCAGAAGCCATGGAGATGGTGTGAATGCTTAGGTTCTAGATTTGCCTTGAAGTCAGAACCAATATGTTTAATGGTTTGGCTATAGGGGTGTGAAGGAAAAGAGTAGCTAAGAATGACTCCCTATGTTTTGGCCTGTAAAGCTAGAAAAATGTTTCATTCACCAAGATGGGCATGGCTTATGAGGAGCCAGTTTGTGGGGAAGAGGAGGATAAGGAACATAATTTCGGACTTGTTAACTTTGAATTGGCTCAGCCCTCAATGTCAGTGTTATGGAGAATTAAACCATTTTTCTATTGTGGCTCAGGATGTAACAGCTCTGCACTGTCAAAATTCACTTACTTCAGGATAATCTGTTTCTCATGAGGAAATGAATGAATACATCCTCCCAGTTATCATTGTAGGGTCATACTGCAGAAGGAATGTGGAAGGACTAGCTTTGCTAAACTTCCCAGAACTCTCAGCATTCTTGGGTTAGGTATTTCTCATATTTTCCTTGTTTTCAATTGTAGTGATACCCAAAAGTACCTGCTTAAGAAAACTGCTGCAAAGCAATGAGATATTCTTATTTTAAGGAGCAATTAATGACTCATTAATTGAATATGGTAGAAATCTTTATTTTAGAATCATTTATGCAGTCCAAGAACAGATCCTTGCTGACTTTTGGAACAGATTTTTAAAATCTTCATCCATTATTCTAGCTTCTAAGTTACTAATAGAATATTCTAAGTTCTAAGGTTCACTTCACTGTATTTCAGGTGGCCCAATGAAAGAAGGAAATGAAAAGCACTAAGAAAAATATGGCAGAAGAATATCTGTATTTGGATTTTTCGCATCAAATTGAAGGATGCATTTTTCCTCTTCATACGTCTGTGACTTTATTTTTGTTATCATACTGTGAATGCAAAATCTTTAAAGTTTGTCTAGTCCTCACCAGGGAAAACACAGATATTTCACTGCTTAAAAATGTATTGTCCCAAGATGTGGAAATACAGATTATTTCAAGGCAAGAGCTCCCACCAATAGTCCAGAGCTGCTGTTTACCAGCAGTGGTAGAAAGACCGGACAATTTTTGTAGAGCAGGGCTTGCTGTTATATTAAGACACATCATCCAAAAATCATATGAAGCAGACCCCTCAAGGAAGGAAATCGTGGAACTTCTGGGTTTTAAGAAGACTTGTCTGAAAGCCTGTGCTGAAGTAAGTACCGTGTCTCTTTTCTGTTCCTTAAATTCATAAAGTAATAACACATTCACCTGAATGTTTGACTTCTTTGTTGGAAACTAAAATTTCACTTCCTTAAAAAAATCTCAGTAAGTGATGAAGTAGCTAAAGCAGTCATTCACATGTGCCAGTATGTCAGTTTAATAGTGAAACATAAGAACTTAAGATTGAATTCTGAGGTATGGAGACATAATTTGTAGTGAACTACTTCTTTATCTTTTGTGTAAGCTAGATTGAAGGCTTTCAAAAGGAGTGGGTACAGGTGAACAGTCAAATTGCAGTGCTTTTGTAAACTGCTTTTTTGAGGGTGCCGTACTTTCAAGGTTTGGAGCTACCCTTTTTCAAGGATAGCTGATGTATTCAGGAAGGAGATACAGGAAGATTGTGTTTGGCTCTAGCAGTATAACCTAGCCCTCCATTGTTTGATGGAATTTCTGAAGTACTATAGTGGTGATGGAGCAGAAAAGCCTAGCTCACACATCTCTAGCCGTAAGCCCTCGACACCAGTCTTAGTTTTCAACAGGAAGTTATTTTTTTCTGCAAACTAGACTGTAGGTCAAGCATCCTTTCATTTCTTGGTTTGTTTTGTTTCATAGGTGAGTCAGTGGACCAGGTTATGTGAACTCACCATCCCTTCAGCTATTGAGAATTTTCTCAAAGACTCTTCTGGCCAGCACCCAGCCATTCCTGCAGAAATAATGCTGCTGGAGAATAAGCTTGGTGAGCCTGTCAGAGTCCATAATGATGACAAGCTCCGTCGGCAAAAGCTGAAGCAACAGAAGGCTTCAGGAGTGGGGCCTTCCCTGCTTAAAGGAAAAACAAAGAGTGAGTCCCCAAAACAGGAAACTTGGCATGCAGTGGACTCGTCATCCCAGAACCTGGAGCTGCAGATGGCCTTCTCTAAGCTCACCGTGCAGGAGGGGACAGCTGCTGCAAGCAAGGAGCCAGCCCACATCAGAAAGGCCAGCGCCGCTGCCCTTCCACCCCTGGAGCACGTGTTTGCAGAAGGCCTCTACTTCACTCTGTCAGACATTGTGCTCCTGCCCTGTATCCATCAGTTCCTGGTAAGGTTTCTTGAAGTCGCAGTGCTATTCTAAGTTTGTCTGGGAAGCTAACTAGCTTTGAATCCCAAGTCCATTTCATTTATTATACTTTGGGCAAACTATTTATGTTGCCTCAATTTTCTCCTCTTTCAAATAGAGTTAATAGTTCCTATCTAACAGGTTCATTTGTGTGAAGTGTGGGAGAACAGTGGTACGTAGGAAGTTCTCAAAGTTAGTCATTATGACTTCTAATTTTGAGTTGCTAAAATGTTAGCAATTGTTACTATTTCTAATTTCAAAGTGCTGTTGTGATTACCTTCTAATATTAGAGGTTCTGGGATTAAAACACTAAAAAAATCAGTCAACTATTGATTTGAAAATAGTCTGTTAAAGAGTAATGTAATTATGCTAGGTAAAGTTATTATCAGAGTATTATCAGAAATTTCTTATCCTCTTCTGTTGGTTCTCTCTTCTCATGGACTCCCTGGAAAGTTTTCTTTGCTGATTGGGCATGGGGAGACAAAGGTACAGATAAATATTAATTGGTATCTACATTTATCTCTATGAATCTCTTCCTCCCTCACCCTCCACACTGTGGAGGAAAAGGAACCAGATGAAAATAATATTGCATTGGACATGGAAAGCTCTTCATCTGTTCTGCCTTCCAATTGGCTTTCAAGAGCTGCACTTTTCTTGCTTTGAAGCATTTCACCCTTTTCCCTACTAAGGAATGAGATACCAGATTTCACTCTTACATATCTCCGACACTTAGGTGTGTATACTGAGAGATGAGAGAAAATGTCTAGCGAAAACGTAAATATTTGGAAATTGGTGCCTCAGTATGTTAAGTGGTATTAGTCTGTTGGAATTTTCTTTAAAAATTTCTCTTTTCTTGAAAAGGAAAAATACCGAATGGTTTCACTCATAGCAGGAGTATAAAGGACCAAGGGAGAAAATAATAATAATAATGAAAAACAGAGACATTTTTTGGAGGTGGAGTGAGGAATGGGATAAAAAATCGGGGTGCGGTGGGGGAGAGTGCACTGACCTGTGGTGATGGCACATGGGTGATTTGGTGATGGGAAGCCCATGGGGATTACAACTGAGATGGAAAAAGGCACAAAATGATGAAAAAATAAACTATTACATTATTTTTTAAAAAAAGAAAAAAAATTCTCTTTTCTTGAAAAAGGGAACAAAATAAGACTAGAAACCAAAATAGCTTCACATCTAAAGGATGTAAAGGAGAGAATTAGGGGCTGTTGAGATCCCAGTATTTGAAGTGTCGGACATTCATAGTCATAGTGAGTATAAGAAAGCATGGTTTTATTTCCCTTAGTCAAATGACTCCCAAGTGTTAAATCCCTCATCTTCCCCTTTATTACCAACTTTAGCCATTGGAGTTATGATTTGGTACATATCAGGAAATGTGTCATCTTCTTGGAAAATTGTTTCTTCTTGCGTAAGGTCTGTATCAAAGTGGCACATCCATTAATTCATTGAAACCCTACTATGTATCCCAGACAATGTGGCAAGTATAATAAATCCAGTGACAAACAGATAAGCCCTCACGGAGTTAATATATGCTAGGGGAAGATAGAAATATAGAAGTTGGGCCCTCCCTGATGGTGCAGTGGGTTAAGGCACAGCACTAAGAAGCTAAAGCCACTTCAGCATGAGATCGATCCCTGCCACATGGTGTGGCAGACCTCTCCTGACCCACCCACTGCTCCCCTCAGCAGTGTACTTCATCAGTTGGCCTGTTTTGCTCCCCACTCTGTCTCTGGTGAATCCTCTCACCACCCCTGCACCTCTTGCCTGTACCCCTGTTCTGAATGCATAAGTAAATAAATCTTAAAAAAAAAAAAGGAAAAAGAAATATAGAAGTAAGTAAATAATATACATTTAAATAAGGTTAAATGCGACAGTTGATAGAGAAAACAGAGTCTGGCTCAAAACTCAGCCAAAAATAAAAAATTGGATTCACTTAATGAGAGTGTTTGTAGATCATTATCCAGACATCTGTAATATTTGCAGTATAACTATAGCTATTAAATACTAGATAACTGGTTAGGGTTAACTGGAGCTGACATATTCCTCATTGTAGGGAATTCCCCATCTCACCAGGAAGAACACCTGCCTGGCAGCTACTGAGTAAATTTAGTAATGCTTACCAAGGAACTTTGTTTTCATCTGAGTTTAATAGGGGGAAATTTGTGTAGTCAGCCGTTTTGTTACATGTGCTCCTGTGATTAAATTCTTCTCTTTTGACATGTGTATATAAACTCATTCTCAAAATATTTTTTTGTTTGTTTCCCTGGATCTGCACATTTTCTTTTAGGAATTAATATTTCTTTGCCAAAGTCTTGGTGTTATTTATGTGCTGTTTACTTTACCCTCTTTTAAGTCATCTCAGGCTGTGAAGCAGTTGTTTTAGTTCAGCCGGTGCCTACAAGGCCGAGCCATTATGCGTGTACTCACGCACTTTAAGGCCAGTCAAGTCCATGGCCAGGAACCAAGATCACAAACTAGAGCTCGCCCTAGGAATGGAGTGTTGTGATATAGGATTAAGGCCAGAAATATAAAAGAGCAGTCAGCTTTACTAAGTTGAGGTTTGAAATATCAGAGGTCAAAATTAGAGGATTTGGGGAAAAAGTCCAGTTCTTCTACACAGAACGAAGAACAAAGTTAGACACACAAACAATGGTACCTAGAGCGCTGATTGTGTGTCTGCACCAGCTCTGGGCTACCTTCTCCAGTGGGTATTAGTTTTTACTGTGATCCCAGGTGGCCTGACCAGCCCCTTTTTCTGGCAAGTTTAGGGATAGATTAATAAGGAACCAGGTTGAATGCACATTGCTTATGAGCTCACCCCCCAAGTTCCATTTTTATTCAGACCATTCAGATCCTTGTTACAGTTAATTATAAAGCTACTGGAGTTTCATTTTTGTGCTCTTGGTAACAGATATTTTTTCCACCATTGTTTTAAGAATAAATTCTCTTATTTTCTTGTCCCAAAGTAACTGATGTTTATAGTAGTTTTGATCTTATCAGCTAGGCTAAAAAAAAAAAAAGGTAATTTCTCAGGAGCAAATTTAATTTTCCCCGCACACATTTTTCATTAGCTACTTCCTTATATATATCTTCTTGAGAGTAATGAATGTGGTTCAGTACCTCCTGAGCTCTTTGGATATTAGTGGAGCAGCCTGGCATGTTGATTAAATGGGATGACCTGTCATGCAGAGTAAAACTCCTCAATTTCTTTTAAACATGATTTATAGTTACCTAATCACACCTTATTTTCCAAAGGAAGGAAAGATGCCATATGCATTTAACAAATAAGAATAAATCACTACCAAAGGAGAGTTATGGAAGGGGGAAGAATAAGAACATTTCTTATTTGATTAATTTATCATGAGTTAAGTGCAGTTCCCTTAGCACATAATCTCTTTCCAGGCAATTAAGAATTTTTCTAAGAATTAAAGTTTGCAGGGTGCCATTTAGACAATGATTTTTTTAACTTTTTTTACACTCACAACAAATAGTGTATTTTATAAGGTGATTGAGGAATTATTTATAAAAGTAGACTTATGGATTCTTCAAAGAAATCTTACTCTGCATCCTATGTGGATTTTTAAAGGAAAACATGTCAATTTCATAATCTCTAAATGAGTCATAAGCAGCCGTTAGAAAAATGCCAATTTAGGAATTACTCTTTGAATATACATTTTTTAAAATTTTTCTTTTCATTTACTCAATCGTTTTTGCATGGCCGTATTTTAAGTGATTGCAGTATTACAAAAAGAGTTCTGCCTAACCCCTGCCTTATTATCAATTACTTGTGCTTATTAAGCAGTCCAGTTAAAGTAAAATTTCTATAAGTGTGTAAATTATTTACTAACTTGTAAAGAATTTACTGGCTCTTGCTTTGGTAGTGGTTATTGCTAAAAGTATTGATAGAGAGTTTCTATGACTTGACCTTTTTACTTAACCTGTTCATAGTCATAAGTCATAATATGGTTATGTTATTGTGACTCTTTCTACGGATACAACATTCATTGCCTCAAAAGAGAAAGAACATCTTAATTTTTAAAGAAATTAAAGTTTTGTGACGATGCTGGAGAGAAGCCCAACAGATACTAAAGTGCACTAGGAGTAATGGTTTCAAATTTTTTTTAATTTGAATGAGAGAAAGCCTTACACTAGGCCCTTCCTTATAATGCGAAGAAACAAACAACTGATAAATGCAACTACCTCAATGACTTGCAAAAGTATAATGCTAGTTGAATAAAATGGACACATTTATGACTTTTTTTTTTCTAAAAGATTTATTTATTTATGTTTACAGAACTGGGGTACAGGCCAGAGGTGTGGTGTGTGAGAGGATTCACCAGAGACAGAGTGGGGAGCAGAACAGGCAGACTGACAAAGTACACTGCTGAGGGGAGCAGCGGGTGGGTCAGGAGAGGTCTGCCAGGCCATGTGAGTCAGTTCCCTGGCTGGGATTGAACTAACCTATTGCACCTCCAGGGAGAGCCCATGACTCTGTTTACATGAAATTCTAGCAATGCCAAAGTTCTAACAAGGAAATTTGATGAGTGGTTGTTTGTAACTTCCCAGGGGAGCTGATTGAAAATGGTCACAAGGGTGTCATTGCGGTGTAACCCAACTATCAAGTACTCCATGATAGCAGTAGATATACAACTGTACAGAGGCACTAAAACTCATTCTAGATGCAAGCTCTGTGGTATGTAGTTACCTCAGTAGAGCTGCTGTAAATAAAATGAAATAGAGAATAATGTGCTTTGTCCTTTCCCTGCCTAGGTAATTATCTGCAAGAATCTTTCTGAAAAATTGGTAGAATTTCCACTGCTGGTTGCTTGGTACCGGAGGGTTCAGGAAGTTCCAAGAGTGAAAAGAGCAGCTTCACAGTGTGGCATCCACTTTCTCCATTTCCCGGAATCACAGACCACCTCCAGGGAGCAGCAGCCAAGTGCCACTGAGGCCCCTGGTGTGGAGGAGCAGAATGAGCCAGCATTTATAGGTGGACCCAGGCCCACGATGACCAAGCTAAGGGTACTTGCATTGCTTTTATTAAAATTTTCTTTGAGAAATTCAATTTGACAATGTTGTTGAGCATTCTACACCAACTTTTAATCATATGTTGACATTATTTTTGGAGGATGGGGGTGTGCTCATTCTTGAAATTGATGGAAAACATTTGGTTAAACCAGAGAAATTCTCTTATTGGGCATCTGTGAAAGCCTGGGATGGGCAGCATTTTGGGTGTCAATTGGAATGGGGCTTTTTGGTCCTGAAAGTACACTTCCCAGACTGTGGCAGTTTTCAGAGGTATGAAGTCAGAGTTTGATGCTCATATGCAGCATCAATTTTGTATTATCTCTGTGTGGATTATTGATATCCTTTTTAATCAAGTGACTTTTCTCTTTGATACCCACTATTTCCAGGTAGCTTATGATTGCTCTGTAGTTTCAGGTACTGATTTAAGAATAGCATTATATTTTATTATCTCAAGATACAAAGAAAAAAGTAACTGTGCTGCCACATCCTCAATACACTATACTTCTTTAAATGTAACTAAACATTTTGAGGAATGTCTGCTGATTTTATGTTCCTCTTCGCTAGTATTTAAACTAGAAATTTTACATTCTAGAACACAAGAGGATTTTTCTTAATTCATTAATTTGGAAAGGGCCTATTTTCTTTTCTAGGAAAAAGGCATTGAAGTGATGTTCTCTCCCCACCCTTGCCCTGCATGGACCCTTGATTGGAATAACCTTCCCGCAGCAGTGAGCCCAAAAGAAGGTGAGTCTTTGCTCTCCTTTAAATTTTACTCATAATCTGGGTATTCTCTTCTGATCCATTTTTGGCTTTACCTGACTATACTGTATACTGTCCACTGATTTCTCATAAAAATTTTGCCTGTATATGTCACTCAGATTTAATAGTGCCTACATTTTTCTACATTTCCTTTGTCTGTCCTTTTTTTTGCCCTTTGCTGAAATATTTCAAAATAAATCCCAGAATACATGTGCTACTGTAGTGCACAGATATTAAAAATACTGACTTCTTAAATACTCACCAAGCCATTATCACAGCTAATAAAAATTCAGCAAAAAATTCTTGGTCATCTAATAACCAGTTCATAATCATTTCTCCACAATTGCTTGGAAAAAAAAATAGCTTTCTTGGGTTTTTAGTTAACTTCTATCTTTCATTACCAGAAATTATACTTGGTTGGTTTGTTTTTGATAATAAACTTTTCCTTGCTTTAGAGCATATTTATTTATAGTATTAATATTATAATAGTTACATTACTATAATTTATTTAAATATTAAATATTTATCTTTAGAGCATATTTAGTATATACTCCACAGTTGTTTCTAGTAGCCAATGTCCATAAAAGTCTTAATTTTGTTGTTTCTGTTGTCTTGGCTCCTGGTGTCTTATTTCTCTGTTGGCCTTGTAATTTTTGATTTGAATTCATTTTTGAGTTACCTGAATGTGTGGGAATCTTCTGAGACCAGAATTAATAGCAAATTCCTTTAGAAAGAATATGTATTGGCTTTTGCCAGGCATCTTGAAGTGCTGGAACTTAAAAGACTACTTAGCATTAATTTTTTAGCTTGAGATTCCTCTAGATTGTTCTATAAGGAGATGAGGTTTAAACAGATAAATACCTTTTATCTTGTTCTTTTGCTGTTTGGAAGGAATTTTTTTTTTTTAATGTATCTTTTCATGGAGAATATGACTTTTCAGTTTTTCAGCTTTCGGGTGTAGTTATTCCGTCTCTCCAAAATGCTAGCTGTCAAGGGCTAAGTTGTCTTCTTTGTCTCACTGTTAAAATCTCAATCCCTGTGATTGGCAAATACCTTCCAGGCAGCTGTGGTGTCTATTCAAGATTTATAGCCCTTTTCCCATTTTATTTCCCCATGTTTTTAATAAGTAACTATTAAGTTTTTTTTTTTAATTTTATAAAAAGTAACTTATTATACCATGATCTTTATTGCAGAGGAACTGCCATATATAGGGAGGGAAAGAACTAATGGAAACATGTCTTTATTTTTCACTGTTACTTTTGCCATGCTAAATTTTGAAAGGTCTATAATTTTGCATGTGAAATGTTAATTCTAAGTAAGTAAAAAGGAATCACATAGCACACCCACCTTTATTATAGTGGTTTAATGATACATTTACTTTCATTGAACGCTTTTTTAATTTAAACCTTTTAAAATTTTTTAACTTTTTAAATTTTCATATGAAGCACTTAGTCTTATTATCCTCATAATTATAAGTTTTATACATTTTTTTAGCAGAATCCCTATAGGTAAAATTTAGACAAGTTTATTTTAAATTTTATATGGAAAAACCAGTTTGAGAAAGAAGAAAATCGCTGTATTTGAGGTCAAGACTTAATATGTAATGATTGGAGAGAGAAATATGTAGATCGATAGAACTGAATAGAGAACCTGCCCAAAAGTGTAAGAGCAACTTTGTGGAGGAAGGGTGCTTGTTTTCAACCAATGTTGGATCAGTTGTCCCAGGCACAGGCCAAAACAAATGAATGTCTAAATTGGTTTAGCAGGGAGTCTTGTGACAAGAGGTCACAACTTTGGTTCTTTAAACCCACTAGTGTTGGCTCACTGGGGTTCTTATGGTTTTCTTCTTTTCCTGCTCTATACCAGCTTATCTTCCTAGGAAAATACATCTTTAAATATGTATTATAAGTATAATTTAACTGCAGGTATTATTAAAGAAAAAGTTGTCTATTTTCTTCCTGGAGTTATAGTTACTGTGTTATTTCCAGTGTTATCTAACACTTGGTTCTGTTCCCTAGGGTTAGGCTTCCAGAAACCTACGTACAGACTATGTTTCTAAGTACTTTGTGAGTAGAACCCATGATGAATGATCACCATGAAAGGTTTTAATGGCTAGTTTGTCAGGGGTAGGTTCTGGGAGCATTGCTTTTTAAAGCAAAGATATCTGACATAGGAAGTAGCTATGTGTGTATATAAATCTGAAGTCTTAGTTCAACTAGGTTAAATGTAGAATATAAGGATTACTTGGGTTTTTTTTTCTTTTCTTTTTTCTTTCCTTTTTGGTCCATATACAAATGATCAAATTGAGAATTTATCAGGGAGTGAAGGAGATTGGTTCTGTTCTTAATTCCACTGTGTCGTTTATTATAATGCTGTATAGTAGGCAAGTTGGAAAGGTATCACAGTGCTTGAGGACTGTTTGTGAATTTATTGACTCCATTATCCATTCAAGAATGAATATTGTTAAGGATTAATGTATTTCAGAGACCAGTTGCTTCAAAAGGTTGAAACAGGATTTATGTGAGTAATGAAATACTCACTTTTGATTGAGTTAGTCCCAGACCTGGATTCTGTTCTCGTCATTCATGTTGCAATGTGGTTGGAGTGGGCCCACCTTCTTCAGGCCTCCCCTTCGGAGCTGGCAGTCTGGAGCACTGCTGCAGCCCTGCCGAGTCCTGGCAGCACCGCCACTCCTTGGGGCAGAGGTGGGTACTCACTCCAGTGAAGGCTTCACCTGTGAGTTTTTCAGAGTTCCAGTCATTGCAGGCTTTAAGGTTTCAGAACAAGGTTGCTTTGGATGAAAATGCACAGAAATTTTATACTACTAATGGGTGAGTTTTCACTGCTCACATGGAACAAATCATACTATTGATGCTGTCTAGAGCAGTGGAGAGCAGAGAAAAGCCTTTGAGTGGAAAACAAGCCATCTGCAGTGAAGCGTTGCCGTGCAAGTGAAGACCTCTCCTCTACTGAGGACAGGTGCAAAGGGCATCTCACCACGGGCTGCAGCTTCTCCGGGCTTCTGTCACCAGGGGCGCAGAGGCAGCCTGTGTTGGCAGCGGTGCTGGGTGCAGAGGCCCTTCCTCCAGGGCCTACCTCCTGGCTGGCCTTACCTGGCCACTTGGGACTGTCTACCTGGATAACTTGTTTTCAAGCCTAAATCGCTCTTCATTCTGTTAAACTTTATGATGTTTTTTTAAAAGTCTAAAACTTTATAATCACATTCCAGAGACAGGGAAAACTAATGATGTGGATCCTTATTTTTTTGCAAATAGAAACTAATTAGTACTATTCACTTCAGTTTAAATTGGCATTCACTGTGCTGTTGCAGACAGTTGTGATTAAAATCAACTCTACTACACAATGAAGTGTTTTATCCTGTGCTTTGAATCATCTCCCCTCAGCACCGTACCCCATTCATTATTTTTATTTAATTAGGCCTAAGTCACATTAGAGGAACCTGAAGCAAGGAAATTTCCCTAAAGTTGTGCAGTCACAGACTTTGCAGCAGTCGTTTTTCAAGATTGAGTTATCAGAAGAATTTTGAAAAGTTGTCCTTACCCATAGGACAAACGTATATAGAAAATAGTCATTATTTAAATGGCATAGATTTACATTATGAGTAATTTATGACATAATGTTTCAAATAAAGATTTTATACAATTATGCATGGGAGCAGTTTAAAAGTAGGTGATTTTATATGAAGGTTTTAGTTGGACTTCCTGTGAGAAGAAAACAGGTGTTTTGTGGCACATGCACACCTAACAAAGTAGACATTAAAAATTATTTGTATGGTTTTTTGGGGGAGGGGTTGGATGAGATCAAGGCCCTTGCAACAGCTTTGTTGACTGAATAGGTCCAGGTCTTTGTGGACATTTAATTTTTTTCAACAAAACCAAGAGAAAATCAGATCACCAGGAAATAACTTAGAAGATTGCTTTCCAGTCCTGCCCATCTGCTCTCATCTAATGTAGATGGTTCACTGTAAGTCGGGTCATTGTTGCTTAATCAGACTATGTTCTAGCCAAAAAGATGTTTTTAAATACTTTTCTTTGTTTATAAAAGCCCTTAATCATGCTGTTTACAAAGTTGTCATATGAGTCATATTCCCAGTAGGCGAAGATGACATTCAAATTGGAATCATCAGAAGGAACTTTTTATAGACAGTTAATGATAAAGTTGTAGGCAGGGTCAGTGGACTAGGAATGGACATGTGGACAGGGCTGGACCAAGGGATAGGGACCACAGGCTGTTTTCACATCAGGCCTTCTGGACAAGAAGAGGGAGAGGAAGGGGGAACAGTCTACTTTCAGAAGGTGGGAGAAGAGGCAGCCCTGGGTGACCCCAGGGTAAGGCTGAGAGGATGAATACCCTTCCTCTCAGCTCCTTTACAATTTTCTGTAAAGGCCTGACATCCCACCCAGGGATGTGGCCCCTAAGGCGAATCTCATGGTGCAGAGGGCAAATGTGGGAGGCAAGCCTCAGACATCTGGCAGAACAGAGGCAGACTTTCGATTGAGCACATCTGAGACTCACAGAGAGGCTGTGCAGTCACATCCAGCGGCTGCATCCAGGCTGGCCCACATCTATCATGCCTGGTCATCATGCCGCAGTCGCCTGCACAGCCTCCCGCAGGTCTCTTGTGTGAAGGCACATTGACGGGCACTGCTAGGTCTCAGCAAAGTTGATAAAATTTGTGAATTTGTTAGCAAGGGATGAAGAGGTTGGGGATGGGGTCTGCCCATGCCCGAGGAAATGTTTTGGAATAGTAGTTGGTGTTATAAAATTTATTTCAGCCCTCACTGGTGGTGCAACGGGTTAAAGTCTCAGCACAATGAAGCTATCCACAGCCACTGCAGCGCAAGTTCGACCCCCCAGCCAGGGAGGTGACCCACGTGGCGCAGCAGACCTCTCCTGATCCGCCCGCTGCTCCCCTCAGCAGTGTATTGCCACAGTCTGCCTGTTCTGCTCCCCACTCTGACTAT